TTCACATATTACGTGATCACACAATCCTATATTTTATGGGTCCAATCCGATGCCTGATAATAGGTCATTATTTTCCTGCAAATGGTTACAATTTACAATCAACTATTTTAAGTTTTTCTACATTTGATAAACAACATACCTCAATTGAAATCTCTAGAATATTAGAGACAAAATTAAAAGAACTTAATATTTCTCAAAAAGCTGTTCGAGTAACATGTGATGGTGGTAAGAATATAGTGTGTGCTATTGATAATATGGATCTAAACCTGAAACGTGTGTGGTGTGTTGCACATCGTCTTCATCTTACTGTTACTAAAGCTTTAGAGTTTTGGATAATGAAAAACAACAACAATGAAGAAAGTACAATCGTAGAAGAACAAGGTAATTACACTTTGAATATTTCCATTTTCAAACAATTTGATAAGCGTCCAACACGCAAAGTTCAACAAATAAAAGTCAGAGACACTGTCAAAGAGAACATTTTCAGATATAATTTATTTATTTAGTGACTGTTTTGCTTCAAATAGATGTATATTTCTATTCGTTTCTGTAGTTTTCTAATTTTCAAAAATTTTTCAATAATTACGATTAAACGTGTATACATTAGCTAAATAGCGTCTCGTAGTCTTCTCACGGTATTAACATAAAAATGTACTTGTCACTCAGCTTTCCAGTTCACAGTGCCACCTAGTATTAGCAATGCTTTCTACGAATAAACATGCACCTTAATTTGAATTTTAAAAATATTCTTTCTGTCTTTTTAAAGATTTAGTTATTGGTGTAGATGATCAATATGAAGGTGTGATAAATGTTGAAGAGTTTGAAGAAAATCATGAAACAAATATAGATAGTATGAATGAATTGGAATTCGACAATGGTGAATCAATGGAAGTGGAGGATATGAATGATGAAGATGAAGAATCATTATCCTGTATGATTGATGATGAAATTACTGATAATTGGGAAGAACATGTTATAGTATCCGATGATGATATTGTTTATGATCAAGAAATAATTGTTAATGTTTTAAAAAAATGTCGTGGTTTGATTTCAATGATTAAGCGCTCAACAATTCTTACATTATTTTTTGATAATGAGCGCAAAAGAATGAACATTAAGCGAAATCTATGTTACGACGTTAAATCTCGTTGGAACAGCACTTACAGTATGATCGATGCCTTTTTAGCTCTTCGAGAAGTTATTGATAAATTATTTTAATATAAACATTATTTACAAATAAAATCAAAACAACGTAAAAAATTAGCATTATTTGAATTAACAACCGATGATTGGGTTATATTAGCTCAATTGCATTTAGTTCTCAAACCATTTTTTCATGCAACAAAAGTACTTTCCGGTCGTCAATATCCATCTATGGGACTTGCTTTTCATTTAATTATACGTTTGAAAAATTTTCTTCAACATCATGAAAAAAAAACAAAAATTAATGATAAAACGTTTAAAACAATTGTTACTGGTAAAACTTTTATTTTATTTTGAACACGATCATGAACAAATGGAATTGTTAAAAGTAAGTGACAAATTAATGTAGTGTTTTTGATTCTTTTTACACATATTAGGAAAACCGTTCATTAGATGTTCACACATTTCTTTGAAACATCTTGCTTGATCGATAAAAGCAGCTGTTTAGTGTATTTTAAAGAAAAAAGTCATAGCAATAAGAGCTATAAGAGCAATCTGTTCGATCAAATTTTGCTATGTAATTTTTCTACATAAACAAACTTTCAACAGCAACTCATCATGACCGAAATGTGCTTCTTGTGCTCACGTTAAGAAGCTAAAAGAAGCTACGCTTAATCGAAAACCAAAAAGACTAATGTTCTTAGGGTACTTTAAAATAATAAATATTATACGTTTTAATACAGTTATTAGGATAACTTCGAAAAAAATTCAAATCAACATTTCACGTTGCATAGTTGCAGTAATTATTTCAACAGAAAAACTCACATAAGCAGCTCTTACTATTATCAAGTCCAATTAAAATATTCTTCTTATTTCTTTTAGTTACATGCTTATTTCGATCCCGCTGGATTTGCAACATTAACTGATCTAGAAAAACGATCTATTGAACAAAATATTAAAAACATGGCAACTAATGAAGAACTATTCGGTTCAACACAATCAATAACAACTGTGCTTCCTATTGTTACAATGTCTATCGGCATATCGGGCAACCCGCCCTTAAATAAAACATCAGCTAAACCAGCTATGGACATGTTTAATGAATCAATTGGGGAATTAAATTATGAAGTAAATCCGTATGATGAAAATAAACACTCAACAATTATTGATGATATTTATAATTATCGAAAATGTGTAACACGGTTCAATTTGAGACAAAAACATGATGCATTATCATCAACATTATTTTGGAACACATACGGAGAAAATTTATCAATTTTAGGTAAGCTAGCAAAGCGAATGCTTTGTTCGCCGGCTAGGTCAGTGCCGAGCGAAAGTTGTTTTTCTACATCAGCTTTTCTAAATAGAAAAGAACGAGCACGTTTAAGTGGAGAAAATCTATCATCAAGTGTTTTTCTCCAAGATAAAATGGGCTTTTAATAAAAAAATTTGAATTTTTTGAAAATTTCTTATCGAAAACTGTTAACAATTAATTGAATCATAATCGATTATTTCATTAAAACTGACTTTTTAACTGATTATAATGATACAATTTTAATGAAACATATCAGCATAAGGAACGATGTCCTTTTTTTGTTAATCTCAATCTATAATTTTGGTTTGACGTATCAAAATGGACTTCATACAATTGATTTAAATCAATCCACATTAACCATAATAAACTGAAATCAAATGAAATCTGTCTTTGATGCTGATGAATTAGATTCATTTTTTTTATTATAGTGTATTAAAATATCTATTTTTAATGAAATAATCGATTTTAATACGATTTTTTGTCAACATCTTTTGCATAGTTTTATCATTTTACTGTGATTTCGTTTATTCTTTTTCACGCTGCAAAATTTGTTAGCTAAACTATGTTCACTGTGAAAGCGTTCTTCATTTTTTTTGCGGTTGACTTATATTTGTCATTTAATGTTTTCCTTTTTATGTTCATATTTTGTTTTATTTCATTTTTTCACAGATAAAATTTTTTTATTGGTATTCTTGAAAATTAGAGCTTTTTCTTCAACTTTTTTTTATGTGTTTGTTTTTTTTTGGAAGCCTTAGTTCTTCCGTTTCCTCATTTATACTGTTGTTTGACGAAGAGTTACTATTTTTCTTCGCTTTCTTAAAACTATTAATTTTGTTCGTTTTGAAGAAACACATCTTGGCATTCTATTATTTTATTTTATTCTCAAGGTGTCTTTCATCATATTGTATCAGATTAAACTTTTAAAGATAAAATTTCAAGCATACACGAAGATCATACTTCAAGATATGTCTGAAATAACTAACTTCTTTAACTAAATGGCACAAACTAGTGAAATTGCAAAAAGTCATAGCGATTTGATGAATTACAAAGCTTCTTTGTTAGCATACGAGACATCTTGACTTTAGAGAGCTAAAAAAAGACTTACAAAATTGTAACTTTCCGTTGACGAATCAAAGAGGCTCAGAAATTTAAAATAACATCAATTTTCATGTGAATGTAATCTAAGCTACATAACATAATAGAGATTCTCTTTGTTGCACAGAATAAATGCATAGAAACAGGTGAAATTTAGTATCGTTTAATTTATGAATAGATTTTAATTTTTCTTGAACTTTGCTGACAGAAAAAGTTCTATTTAAGATACCAAAACAAATAATGACGCAGCTGAAAGATTGAATTATATGACGGTAGTCATATATTCGACTAAAATACGAAGTTATGCGATTCGTGAAAGTTTCTTCTATAATTTAAAATTATAGATCATTTGCGTTAATCATATCCGTGGTAGAGAGAGGATTCCTTATTTCACTATAGTCTATTAAAAATTACCTTTTAAATCGATACAAATATGTACTCTGGTATATGCGGTGACTCAGTGTTCCAGTGAACACCCATGTCGGTGAGATCGGTGTACTGAGCTTCAGTGTGGACTGCCGTTCGGTGCTTCAGTAAACACTGAAGCAGTTCTTCAGTGTTTTCACTGAAACTGCACATCCCTATCTTCATGGTTGCCCTGATATATGCTACGATAAAGCGTTTAAAGACTTGATATAGTAACTATCAACAATCCGAAGGTAGATGTATCATGATACCCATGGTACTTTATCTTCGTAGCGTGACACAAAGTTAAGAACGAATCAGAGACATTGCTCATGCAATTTTCCATGCGTTTCATTCAGTTCAATATACAACTGTTTTTGGTCTCACATCAATTCGTTTCTGCTTTTATTCTTATCAAATTGTTAGGTCAAATGAATATACTTTTTAACATTTTAATAACGTGTGTCTCATGTTCTTGTAGATCCAATCAGGGATAAGGTGAGTAATTCTTCCAAATTTGCATTTCTTCTGAATTAGTCTAAGATTTTAATTCATCAGTATTCCTATCGTATTCGCAATGCATCGCTTTACGTTGAATTTTGTAGAGTATCAAAGATGCCTCAATGCCAATCTGCTGACGAAGAAGGGTGAATCATAAGAACGGATTCAATACGCCTGAAAGTAATCGACTATTAGATGAAGATCAATAGAAGAAATTTGTTAAGTTTAGAATAAAAGAATACGAATGTAGAGCTTGACGGTGCGGCTGTCATTTTCTTAGTTACAAACACCCACACCCTCATAGCTTACTGTGATTGTCTTACCTTTCTCTTTCTTCTTCCTTCTAATGTACCTTCCGCTTTAGCATTCCTATAGCTAATCTTATACAATTCCCTAATGGTTCTAAATCCTCGTTAAACATATCTCATATTACAGTGAAGTCTCATAGTTTCTTCTCCTTTATCTCATGATTTCATTTATTATTTTCTTATTTTGTCATACTATCATACTAAATTTTGTGCTTTATTGTAGATTATTTCTTGTAAATGATAATAAATTTATGGAAACGTCGATGTTAAAATGGAAAGTAATCTTTTTATTGCTGCTGTAAAATCCGTTCAATTCTGTTTCAAATTGTTGCCCATCAATTCCAATAATTATATTATTTTTCTGTGATCAAATGCAAACATCAAACGAATATTCAATAAAAGGGCATGGAATATTGTCATAATGTCATTAAGAACTAAAACAAGTACATGAATGCAATGTTAATTGAATATAAGACGAAAATTAATTATCTGTCTCAAATTCCGTAATTCATTCTGAATTTCAAGTGCTTTTTGTTTCCATGGTTCGACTTGAGTTACCTCTCCAATTACTTGAATTGTAATCTTTGTCAATCGATTATGGTTGCATACTACGCGCTTCCACGTGTCTTCATCTAACATAAACTCATAGTTGTATCTGTTGAGAACAAGGCGAATAGTAGAAATATTTTGCATCTTGTTAATAAGACCGAGTGTTGTCATCAATAAACAATGTAAAACATTTTGACAATCGTCATTTATTGAAGTCAATGATAAATGGCGTGTGTCCAAAATGAAGTAGTCGATTGTTGTATTTTGCATGAATTGATTTAGCATACATTGAAGATTGTTGGAAATACAATGTGATCCAGTACAGTGAATTTCGAATCGTTTTATCGAATTGTTCAGACGATCAAGAATAATACTTGAAGTATCATAGTCGATTTTATTGTTGTAGTAAAGGACAAGTGAAGTGATATTAGGGAAATATCCAAAGTATCGGTCAATATTTTCGGTGTTTGAGATGTTGAACAGAGTGAGTGACATAATCTTCGTCAGAATACACCAGTGGAGTGAATGAGCAATTGACTTCAGTTGATCTGCATTGATACTCAGTGAGTCTATTTCTGTTCGCTTGAACCCTTGTAGTATCTTGTAGATGAACATATTTTCCATTTCAGAGATGTGTACTCTTGCATGGCAATCTCGTAATAAGGGTAATATATTGATAGAAAATGCATTAACTGCTTCATTTAAAGAGAGATATTTAGTAATTTCAAAAACTACATTCCGGTCAAGCCGACTCTTGAGAACAAAGTCAAATGGCTAAAATGAAATATGAGAACTCAAATAAAAGGTAATTTGAATTCATCAACAGTAACAGTTGTCTAAAAATTAAATAATTCAACAAGACTTACCATTTCATTTTCGTGCTGATTGAATCGTTCTTTGAAACTTATTAATTCGCCAACTATAGTGTCAGATGTAACATATTCTTCAGTACGGCTTAGCTGGAAACATTCGAGCAATAATTCTGGTTGATATAAGATTTCTATTGAAAGATCATCTGCTATGGAGGATTGCCGCATGATTCCGATTAACTTTGGACATTTCGCTGTGGAAAAGTCATAGAAAAAACGATAAGAAAACATTTGATTCCAAATCTGTTGTAAACTAAAATGAAAATAAATTTTATTTCATGTATAGATTCTGATAGAGAGAATGTAAGTATCCATTGTCTCGATATCGATATCCAAGGAAAAGCAGCAAAGCAGATGGGATGACCAGCTATTTGGGAATGCAGTGAACCTATGAGAAGGAGATAGAGGTTTAAATTTGATACCCTAATTTAAAAGTATATGCTGGAATATTTAAAGGTTTATGATAAAACATAAGTCCTTCGGTGTTCTTTTGAATCTCATTCATTCTGTTCAAGTGTCAACAGCAAGATGACAAGAAATTAAAATGTTTATTCAAGTTTGTATGACTTACTTGTTGTAATTGGATTTCTGTGTGACATTGTATGCACATACAATATAATTTTCATTCAGATAGTCGATTATAATGGCAGACTGAGATACAGCAGAAAAAACAGTGCTGGCAAATATGCTTTTTTCATCATGTATGTAGATGAGCAGGGGGCAACGCTGAAATAAGACTAATAAGCCTGTCAATAGTTCATGATGGAAATAAAGCAAACGAACTTCTTCAATTGATGGGGAACTGAAAGCCTTTTTGCAAGCGTCTTCAAGAGAGCCCATAAAAAACGCGGTCGATGTATTGCATTTCTGTTGAAAAAATTTATCGAACGATTCATTCTCGATGCTACGAACTTCCTCATACGTCTGGGTTGCATCTATAAATAAAAAGTCAGCAAACAAATGTTTATATTTTCTAGTGAGGAAAGACAACTTACGAGGATAGGTATTTGGAAGGTTAGAACCAGTATTATACTGATTGATAATTGAATTTAGTTTCCTTTGAGCAATCTATATAGGAAATAGACATATTTACTTGTAAAAAATAGAAGGTGAATAATATGGAGTCGTCGAAATTAAGTAGTGTTCTGAGTATTTCTCTAATATTCCCTTCAATTTCTATTGCTTTCATTTGAATCTATTTCAAAAGATCCATTTTTGATTAATCTATGCAACTTTTTTCCAGCCTATGTGCAAACTGTAGATACGCAGCATTTAATTATTTTGGACTAGTTGACTCACGAAAAATATGAAAGATTTTCGATTATAGTAGAACCGCATACTATTACACTTACTACTGATGGGTTCGCTCTGTCATTTGCATTGACTGTTTTATTTCCA